CAACTTGAACTTCCTCCTTTGTCACCATAGGCTCTTGCTCATATGTTATTTCATTAAATTCTTCTGTATCAGCCAATACCTTCTGATACAGTGACTCTGTGTATTCCTTCCATCTTCTTTTAATGCCTCCTGGATCATTTAATTCTCCCCAAAGTCTCCTTAAGTATTGCCACCCGTGGCTTGAATTTGTTTTTCAACTTTTTCAGCTTAAAAAACGCTGAGCGAATTCGGCCCTTTTGATTCCATCCTATAGTTAGCACATAATAAATGATTCATATACTGAGTGAAATTTGACCTGCTAAAGAATAAAAGAATTTGTGAAATTTGAATTGCTAGAGAATGAAAGAATTTATATGTATTTATCTCCTATTCAGCTATGGTATTTAGGCTTGGAATTAGAATAAAAAACCTATGGGAAGAGACAACAAAAGTAGAGCAGATTAGTTGCACTGCTTAAGAAAACTTACTTTTGTTGTTTGGTGCCTTCAAGTTGAGTGCGACTCATACCGACCCTGTGAACAGCTGATCTGAACCCTGCCCTCTCCTGTGCTATTCTCACCCTTCCTGACACCTTTGCCCCCACTGCAGCAGTCACTGTATCAATCTGTATGATTGAGGATCTTCCTCTCCTTTGCTGACCCTCTGCCTTTCCAAGCATGATGTCCCTCTCCAAGGAATAGCCTCTTCTACCAACATGTCCAAAGTAAGTGAAGATGAAGCTTTGTCATCTTTACCTTCAAAGGAGCATTCTGACTACACTGTCTCCAAGACATATTTATTTTTGCAGTCCATGGGATATTCAGTCCTCTTTTCCAACACCATAGCTCAAAGACATCAATTCTTCTATCATCCTTATTCATCGTCCATCTCTCAGATGCATGCAAGTTATCTGAAGGACCATGGCCCGAATCAGACACATCTGTCTTCAAACTGAAATCATTTCTCCTCAATGATTTGGAGAGATCCTTAGTTGTAGCTTTCCTAGTCCAGTACATCTCCAGATTTCCTGACTTCTGGTTGGTGCCAGGGGTGTTGATGGTGAACCCAAGTAATATGAAGCCGTTGGCATTTTCAGTCTTTTCTCTTTCTGTAATCATTTTGCCTATCAGACGAGTGGTAAGAATTTTTGTTTTCTTGACACTGAGATGCAATCCATATTGAAGGCTGTAGTCTCTGATCTGCATCAAGTGCTTCGGGTCCTCCTCACTTTCAGCCAGGAAGGTTGTGTCACCTGCATAGCGGAGGTTATTGATGAGTCTCCCTCCAATTTTGATGCCACATACTTCTTCATAGAGTACAGCTTCTGAAATAATTTGCTCAGCATACAGATTGAATAGATTTGGAGAGAGAATACAACCCTGACACACTTTCTTCTTAATTTTAAACCATGTAGTGTTCCATTGCTGAGGCACAACAGCCTCTCGGTTAAGGCATAGGTTTCATGTGATCATAAGTAAGTGCTCTAGGATTTTCATTCTTCTCAATGTTAGCTATAACTTGTTATGATCCACATAGTCAAATGCCTTTGCATAGTCAATATATCATAGATAGACATTTTTCTGGTATTCTTGGGTTCTGATATTCTTTGGGATTACATTTCTTGGGAATGAGAACTAATATGGACCTCTTCCAATCTGTTTGCCAGACAGCTGCCCTCTAAAGTTCCTGGCATACACTGGTGAGTGCCTCCAGGGCTACATCTGTTAATTGAAACAAGTCTATTGGTATCCCATCAATTCCTGGAGTCTTATCTTTTGCCAGTGCCTTCAGTGCAACTTCATCTTCCTCTTTTATTACTATTGGCTTCTGCTCATTTGGTACTTCTTTAAGGTTTTTCAATGTCAGTCAATTCTTTCTGGTACAATGACTCTGTGTATTCCCTCCATCTTCTTTGGATGCTTCCTGGATCATTCACCATATTGCCCATAGCATCTTTCACTATTGCAATTCAAAGCTTAAATAAATTTGTTTTCAGTGCTCTCAGCTTGAGAAATAGAGTTAGTTTTCCCCCTTTTCCCCCCCAATTCCAGCTCTCTTGCAAGTTTCATTATAATATTTTGCTTTGTCTTCTTGAACTGCCCTTTTAAATCTTCTGTGCAACTCTTTTACTTCAGCATGTTTTCCTTTTCTCTTGGCTTTTCAACACTCCAGTGCAATTTTCAGAGTCTCTTCTGACATCAATTTCAGTTTTCTTTCCTCTCCTCTGTCTCTGTAATGATGTTTTGCTCTCTTTATGGATGATATCCTTGATATCATATCATCCCACAACTCATCTGGTCTTCAGTCACTGGCCTGCAATGCTTCAAACCTTTTCTTAAGTTTATTTTTAAAGTCAGGTAGAATAGACTCAAGATCATATTTTGGTTCTCAGGGACATGTTTTAATTTTTTTTTGGTTCAATTTGAACTTACACATTAGTAATTGATGGTCTGACCACCCGATGCCCTAGCCTAGTTTTGAGTGCTGATATTGAAATTCTCCAACAATTCCTTTTACAGATGTAGTCAGTCTGATTCCTGTGCAGCCCATCAGGTGAGATCCTTTGTGTTTGCTAAAAAAAGTTTTTATGATTAATAAGTTATTAAAAATACAAAATTTGATCATTCTATTTCTAGCTTAATTTCTGTGACCTAGTCTATACTTTCTGACTACCATTCCTTCTTCATTGTTTCCAACTTTTGCATTCCAGTCACCAGTTATCATTAATACATCTTGATTGCATGTTTGGTCAATTTCAGATTACAAGATTTGGTAAAAATGTTCAATTTCTTCCTCTTTGGTTTTAGCTGTTGGAGTGTGTATTTGAATAATAGTTGTATTAACAAATCTTCCTTGTATATGTATAGATAATATCCTATCACCCACAATTGTAGTTCAGAATAGAACTTCAGTCTATATGCAGGACAGATAACTCAGGAGGCTAGGCTTTATGAGGAAGAATATGACATCAGGATTGGTGGATGACGGATAACAACCTACATTCTGCAGCAACATTGCTTGCTGAAATTGAGGAGGACCTGAAGCACTTGTTGCAGAAGGTCAAGGACTATAGTCTTCAATATGGATTGAAGCTCAAAATCAAGGAAACAAAAATTCTCACGGCTGGGCCAATTGGAAGCACCATGATAGATAGAGAAGAGATCAAAGTTGTTAACAATTACAGCTTGCCCAGTTTCACAGTCAACACTCTTGGCACCAACAGTCAGGAAATCAAAAGATGAATCACATTGCAAAAAATCTGCTGTTAGATACTTCTCCAGAGTATTGAGAAGCAATAATTTCAATCTAGAGACTAAGGTGTGCCTTATCCAGGCCATGGTCTTCACAATTACTTGTTATGCATCAGACAGCTGGACAATGACTGAGGAAGACAGAAGAAGAATTGATGCCTTTGAGTTGTGGTACTGGAGAAGACTCTTGAATATATCATGGATGACCAAGAAAACAAATAGGTCTGTCTTGGAGAAGGTGAAACCAAGTTTTTCATTGATGGCTAGTATTTTAAAGCTTCGTCCCATATACTTCGGACATGTGGCCAGGAGGGAGACCAGTTCTTGGAGAAGGACATCATCATGCTAGAGAGATGGTACAGGAGAAGACAACTAATGAGACAGATTGATAAAGTAACTGGGGCAGTGTGTCAGAGTCAGTGAGAGTGGCTCAGGATAGGGCAGGCTTCAGAGCTGTTGTACATAGGCTCAGTATGAGTCACAGGTGACTTGATGTCACATAACGACCACTAGCACCACTTTATTATTTCTGATCATTAATTCTCTTTATTCAGTGTACTGTTTTTTATTTTCCTTTACTTTTCTTTTTCCACTAAACCTATAACTATTTTTGCACATGATTTTATAGGTATTATAATAGATTTAGGTACCATTTAAAGAATTATAGTATAGTCATTATGAGTCCACAGTAATTTAATAAACGATTTTTCTGTTGAGCAGCCATTTATTTTTTTATTTCTCATTGTGAAAGTAATATAATGAGCCTTTTTATTTGTAGAATTTTACTATCTTTTAAATTGTTTTATGGAGATAGATTCAACGGCACAAAACAACAACAGATTATTGGAAATAATGGATCAAAGAATATAAACATTGTTAAGTTCTTGATACAGATTTCAAATTTTTTACAAAAAAAACTTAAAAGATTTTTAAAGATAATTCACACTTCAGTGATTACTGGTATAATTGAGTATTATATATATTTGCCTTTCTATTTCTTCATGTGGTAATGATTTATTCTTGTTCCTTGATCATGGTTTATATGTATACTCAATAAGTATTTGTATTTCATGTATTACTTGCATGTTTCTTTTTAACATAGTTTCTTTCATTTTAAGATGCACTTCCTGAAGGATTCAGCCAGGAATTTGAAGAGCAACAACCGAAAAGTAGGCCAAAATTCCAGTCTCCTCAAATACAAGCCAGTATTTCACCTCCAGTGCAAATAAAAACCAAAAAGCAGGAAGAAAACTTTAAGGTAATTTAAAGATTAAATCTTTGAAATTTTATAAAGTCAGAGTTAAGCAGAATATAATATAAGGTTGTAGCACAATGGTTAAATGAGTGTGTGGCTGCTAACCACAAGGTCATAGGTTTGAACCTTCCAGCCACTTTGCATGGAAAAAAGAGCTGACGATCTACTCCTGTAAAGACTACAACTTAGGAGACCCTATCAAACACTTTTACTCTGTCTTATGGGGTCATTATGAGTCAGAGTCTACTTGCGGGTATACAACAACGGCAAATAACATTTTTACTTACTAAAACTAATCTGTTTTTGTCAAACTTTTGTGTTGTATTTATCTCTTACTTTAGAAGCCACTTTAACCAGCAGTTTTCTCATGACTGTGCAGACTGAGCTGGGTTCAGCTGGCTAGTTTTTCAAATCCACAAATTATCTACTAGGGTTAGAACATTCACTTGCTCATCACTAAACACTATAGAATAGGATATTTGAGACTTACATATCTCCTGTCATAGAGGGTAAAGAACTTATCAAAGGAGTGACAGTTGCTAACAGTTGTGATATCTTTTCCTCACTTTGGTTTTTTTCATATATTTTTTTTTCTCTTTCTAGCCAAAAAAGGAAGAAAAAAATATGGAAAGTAATATGAAAGAATGGATTTTGAGATATGCTGAACAACAAAATGAAAAAGAAAAGAATGAAAATTCTCAAAGTTTAGAAGAGGAAAAATTTGACCCTGTGAGTAAAAATTTGTATTAACTTGTAGCTGGATGTTCCTAAGCAAGGTGTTTAACTTTTCCTTCGTTTTCTTATGTGAATTTGGAAAATACTTGCAGCCATTGATGTGAGGGGTCTTTAGTGGCTTAGTGTTAAGAGTTGTGCTGCCAACCCAAAGACTGGTGGCTTAAATTGACTCGCTTCTCCACGGGAGAAAGATAGGCAATCTCAAAACTTGGTGGGCCAGCTGTGGACAGTCCACAACAGCAACAACAGTGGGTGATGAGAAGATTAAGCAAGATGATACTTGGAAAAGAAGTTGTAATGCTATAACAGGAAAGAATTACTTTTATCACATACTTACAGAAGTAATAATTAAATATTTATTTAATATATAAATATTAAATATTTAAGAAAACATAAACTAAAAATAGAAAGTACAAGATATACTACCAAGTGGAAAAATCAAGTTAAGGGAAGAAAATAATTGTAATACATACATTGGACAGTTTGTGTTACTGTTATGTACCGTGAAGTCAGAACCAACCAATAGCTGACCCTCCTGCAGGTTTTCAGAGGCAGTAAATCACATAGGAGGAGATTGTCCACCTTTCTGCTGCAGAGCAACTCGTAGTTTTGAAGTGTGTACCTCTGAGTTGGCACTGCAGTTCCTTACCACTAAGCCACCAGAGCTTCCTAGAATTATATGAGGAACTTTTAAAAGGACAGAAGATACTTTATACACCTACACATGGATGACCAGTAAACATGATAAGAATATATTTAACATCACTAGCCATCAGAGAAGTGAAACTAATGAAATAGTGCTATATATCCATGACAATGGCTAAAATCTAAAAGATCAGTAGTACTTATTGGGGAAATTGTGAACTGAAACAACTTAAAACATTGCTCATAGAAAATTATTCAGCCACCCCTAAAGTTAAATATACATTTACCATATGACCAGTAATTTCATTGCTAGGTATTCCTCAAGAACTTAAAAAAACTACTTGCATGTAAATGCTCATTGCACCTGTATAATAACCAACGACTGCAAGCTACCCAAATGTCTACCAGCTGGTAAATGTTATTGTTAAATACATTCAAGTTGGAACCATCTCATAGCTTACCTCTGCTGGGGTTTTAGGGACTTTAAAATACACCAGAGATTGCTTGTCTTTCTCCATCAAGCAGCTGGTATATATAAAAAGGAACCAACTACTGATGCAAAAAAGAACATGGAAGAATCTAAAAAACACTATGCAAGCAGGAACAAACAAATACATTCTAGATATTTTTATGATGTTAAATCCTGGGAAAATTATCTCTGTGAAGTTAATCTATAGTGATAGAAAACTGCTCAGTGGTTGTCTGGGTTTCAGAATAGGAGCAAGAGGTTGCTTACATCTCTTCAGTCCAGTGCAGGCAGTTCTTCCAGCACTGTGGCTTCAAACTAACGGGCACCTTCTATCCACACCACCAGTCACCTGGCCAAATCAACAGAGAAAGCTTCCACAGCATGAGGCAAAATGCTACTTCTGCAGCCTATGCCCAGCCTCGAAAACTGCCTGAATCCCAGGCAATAAAGCACAGTTTCATCCCTGTCTTTAAGCTGATGCATGCATCCACTACAGCAAATAAAAACTTACTGTTATATGTGCCAGTCACTCTATAAATATTTTCTTGTTCCAGAATTGCTATTATGCAGTCTTCATTTGGAATAGTTTGATTATTTTGCACTGTATAATAGCTTTACAGTGCATTACTATAGCCAGAAAAACCTATTATATATAAAGATGTACTAGATAGTTGTATACACATGAACAAGGTGTTTATTGCAACTTATATATTGTATACCCCAAGATCACTGAAGAAAATAGCTGACATTAGTGTGTAGCAAATTTGTACTTTTGGTTTCATCACTAACAAAAGTGCCTCACCATAATAAAACCCCAACAACCCATGTTTGGTTTCTAGGGCACTATATTGTTAAAAATAGATAATTTGCCTTGAATAAATGCATGCATTTTATTGGTAACAAATTTCACTACATTTACCAATTTTAACATGGGTGGATACAGAACTTTCATTCTTTAGTCATTACAGGTGGATCTCTGAGTTTTTTATTTATACTTTTAATATAGTTTTTGAGTTTTGTATGACTTGAATTTTTAATCTGTCTGTAAAATACATAACTTAAATGAACATATTATATGTGTAGATACCAGATTTGATATAAATATTGTAACATAGATGTACAGATCCAGGATGGAACTGACTTCTTTATTAAGAAGAATATAATTCTGCATGTGGACTAACTAGATCCAAACCTGTGCCATGCCTCTGTGCATACCCAATTAAACACTGGAAATAAACATTGTCTTGGTGAACTTTAAAAAAAGAGAGAGAGAGAGAGATTATTTGCTTGTAAGGGAACATTTTTTTAAATAATTATCTTTTTAAATTAATTTTAATAGACATTTACAGAGGTTTTGGATTTCCATTCATTCATTGCTGCACTTTTCTCCCTGCCCACCCCTCCCCACCAGTTCACTCCCCTCTCTGAAAAAAAAATACTTCATTAGTCTACAATTCCC